TGTTTTTGAGAACTACCCATATTGATATATATGTAGTATCTGGCTAACTTATGTAAGAAATAAGACGAGCCCCCAAATTTAGGAGTCCTGGTAGAACACAAAACAGACTCGGGAGCCAGGCAGCAAGGCAAATATCTTCACTTCTACGTAGAAGGGTGTGCAGCACATGGTCTGGAAGCATGCTCACACTGAGCAGGCGGTCTGCTTGGCAATTTAATCCTGCCCCACGTGACCTGTCCCTCACTTTTGACTGAGCTCAGGCGCACAGTCTTTTGCAATTGGCTAGTTTGAAGGGAGGGGTTGACCTTTGCCGTTTCAAGATGGCAGCCCCTTGGGGAGCTGCAAGCCATGCAGCCAACATGGCGACTGCCAACTTACACAGTCCAAAATGGCTGCTGCCTAAACTGTTCTTTGACAGAAAAGATGACTTGTTTTTTTCTCACACTTATTTCACCTGACGAATAATTTAATCTAGATGTATGTCACATATGATATATAATCATATCAGTATATTTTTCTATTACCCTATTGCTGATCACTTAGGTTGCTCCATTGTTTTGTTACTGTGGACATGAAGGCATGAACAGTCCTGTACAGTCTCCTGGGCTCAGGTGCATGGGTTTCCCTGGAGGCTCTACCCAGAGCAGACCGCTGGGTGGTTGGGTATTTGCATGTAAGACATTGCCAGGCATTGTCTCATAGCTCACCCAAGTGTTTCCTTAATTTACTCCCTGATGTACAATGTATGACAATTCTTATTTCCCTACCTGCTCCCAACACTGCGTACTGTCAGACTTTCTAATTGTTAGACAGCCTAGAGTATAAAGAGGTATCTTGTGGCTAATTTTCATTCCTCCGATCCCTAATAGGGTTGAGTATTTTTTAATGTGTTCAGTCGCCATCCCTTATTGATTTTTCTATGCCTCAGCTATACATATATTTGTTGACCTCTCTTCTATTTGATCTTTTAATCTCTGTCTCATTACTTTGTAGGAGTTCTTTGTATGTTCTAAAAAAGAACTCTTTGTATGTTAATTGCATTGCAAATAGCTTCTCCTAGGATGTGACTTGTTTTACAACTTGATTTCTGGTGTTTATGTTTTAGTTTTTATCACCTAGGAGTTTACTTTTGATGCAGCCAACTGTGTGGATAGAATAGCAGTTGAGAAAGTGGCCTCTAGTAGCAAATGGCAGGGTCATAATCCATCCTGGCTCTACTACTTGCTAGCTTTGCAATCTCCAGCAAGTTCCTTAACATCTTTTTACCTCAGTTTCACTATCTGTAAAATAGGAAAGTATTACTAGTACTTCTCTTAAAAGATTTGGCATGAAGATCAACTACATATTGCCTGGTATAAAGTGAGAGCTATATAGGTGTTAGCTACTAAAATTGGTCCTTTTCATAGTTTGTTTTTGAAACTCTTTCCTAACATCACTGATTCATGTACATATTTAGGTATATGGTTAAAGGTTAAATATCACTTATGATAGTCTTTGTTTTACATTTTTCTCAAATATTTGGATCCTGGAACTTAAACATGGTTATGATTAAATACATTTGGAATGATCTAAATTAAAATACATTTATGTATTTCTGTACAATGACTTCTATTTCAATAAATAGCATTTTGTAATGAAAGCCAACTTTATTTCTTAAAATGGAACATGAATGTAGTTACAACAGCTTCAAAAAATGACTTTTATGTTATAGTAAGTCGGATAATATTATTGGGAGAAAGTTCTCCATGAGTAATTCCTAAACACATGAAATAAGAAGGTCGGAGACACAGGCATAATCCATGTTCATTCAATGCATAAATAGTCTGTTTGCTTTTTAAAAAGCACCCACCTCTGAGCAGTTTTTAAGAGAAGGGATTAATGCATAAACTATGCAATTGCATAGAAACCCCTAACAGACAGAGTAAAGTGTACATCCAGAGGAAATAAAATCCAAACCAGGTCTCTCTTGGGACTTCCATTCTCTGTAACCATTCATACTTTTAATGCATTTTAACTGCACCCAGGGAATCAGGAAACCATGTACGTGATTAATGCTCTTTGACTGCCCCTAAGGAATGCCCTTCTGCTTGGAGAGGATAGTTTCATAGTCACTGCCAATGGTATTTTCTAATTGTAATAAAAAATGTTTCTTCTTTCTTCTGTTGCATCTTAAAATAGAAACACTTTTGAAAGAGATGAACAAAAAGTAAGTATTATGTAATAGTGGGATGTGTAGTCCTGCACATGAAATCACCCATTATTGTCGATGAGGCTAAATCTCAGAGGATGGGTACAAGACATCTCCCAGCTCAATGTGTGGAAATGAAGAGATAGAAGCAAGAAATGCCTTATGAATACAAATGATGGCACATTTCTTTTTTTAATATATATTTTTAATTGATTTCAGAGAGGATAGGAGAGGGAGAGATAGAAACATCAATGATGAGAGAGAATCATTGATCAGCTGCCCCTTACTGGGGATCAAGCAGGCAACCTAGGCATGTACCATGACCTCTTGGTTCATAGATTGATGCTCAATCACTGAGTCACGCTCGCCAGGTGATGGCACATTTTTATGTTATTTAGTGTGACATTTATTCTATTGAAACAACCCTCCAACATCAGAGTTTTAACAGAACAGTGGTTTGTGTCTTACTCATGCTTTGTCTTGTATTGAGTTGGCAGAGATCTTTCTTTCACATGGTTACTCAGGGACCCATCTCAACACAGGTCTTAACAGGGAATGAGAGCGTGAAGATCTCATTCCTGCCTTTCTCTGCCTGGAGCCGGAGGTGGCACTTGTCCCTTCTTCTCAGACTTTCACGTGGCTCCATCTCTGTGCAAGGGGGAGGAAGTGTGGTCTTCATTGTGCCTGCAAGGAGAGGAGGGTGGGACTTGGGTGAGCCCTGGGAGAAGCTTCCAGTGACTTGCTCACTCTTACTGCATTGGGTGGGAGTAACCTTAGTGTGTTTCTTTCTATAGCTTTAGATTAGGAGGTAGGAATGTGAGTTTTGGAGTTGAATGGATTAGTTTAATCCCCTACTGAGTTCCTTAAGATCCCTGTGGTCAAGTTATTTAGTATCAATAAGCCTGTTATTCTCCACCTGCCAAAATAAATGTGTGATTGATGTGAATTAGCAGAGACCTGGTATACAGTAAGTACTTACAAAAGGGTTGCACTGGTAAAAGGAACATAGTAGTAAATCCTGAAGGATATAACAGAACATTTTTATTGTATCAGAAAAAATAATGTTAGTTTCCTGGGACTGCCATAACAAATTACCACAATTGTGAGGCTTAAAACAAAGAAACTTATTCTTTCACAGTTTGAGGGGGAGGAGAAGTTCAAAGTCAAGGTGTGTCAGCAGGGCTGTGAACCCTATGAGGGCTCCGGAGATGGATCCTTTCTTATCTCTTCACGGTTCCCATGGCTCCAGGCATTCCTTGGCTTGTGGAGGCATAACTCCAATCTCTGCTTCCATCCTCCCTGGCCTTCTCTGTGTCTCTCTCCTCTTCTCTCTCTCATAAGGACACTTATCATTGGATTCAGGACTATCTCATCCAAAGTTCTTTAATTAAATCTGCAAAAGTGTTTTTTCCAGTAATGATTTTTAATTTCTAGGGATTTGATGTGGATGTATCTAGAGAGGGACATCATTCCACTTGCTATAACTATGAAAGTATTTTCTACTGCTATATTAGCATCACTTATTAAATGATCATATTCTGCAGTTTTTAAAATATTGATTATAGGATGACAATTCTGCTTTAAGTGTTAAGCTTTGTAGATAGATGGTACTGCTAAATAATGTTACATCTTTTTAATGCAAGAAAAAGTTACATCGGACTGACTTTGTAATGTTATCAGTTCATATATCTAATGGCTATAGCTCTCATCATTGTAAAACCATTTTCAAGTCTGCTCACATGCATTGGCTTCAGAGCAATATACCCTGTAAAAGTTGTATGTTTCTTAAGGGATTACTCATGTATTCATTTATGTCAATCATGGGTTTTCTGAACCCTGATTTATGCCAGAATTCCTTTTTCCTCCGGTAAATGTATTCAAAAGTCATCTCCAAGGTATAGATTAGAGTTCTAAAACCCACTTGCTGTTGGGAAACTGATGAGCTATTCATAGAAGCTACTTGATCAGAGTAAAAGATGCAGTGGAATAAGTGTAGAAAATCATTCTGAAAGTGATGCCTGTCAGTGATTGGCATCTAGATTTCTCAATTATTAACATATTAAATGGGCATATTGGAAGTATTTGTGTATATAATGAATTTTTTTATATTTAGACATTTTAAATTTATGTATATATTTAATAGAGCATTCAAAATGAATCTATGTTGCCTACATAGTTGCATTCTGCACAATATCTTTGGCATATCATGAATATGAACATATCATGCATACTGGGGTCATTTTATAAAATAAATGTATACAGTGAGAATTTGGGAACTGCATATTCAATTGGTGGTAAGTGTTATAATTTTCAAATTACTTAATGTAAGCTATAATAATCAACTTAAAGGAACAGTTCACCTGATATGTCTACAAGAAGGTATAGGTTTATTTTATGGTCCTTATAATGAAAAAGGGGAATGTTATTTCTTTTTTAAACTACCTTACAGAGTCTACATGAAACTTTTCAGACTTGCATTTTAAAAGCACTAAAATTGGATAGAACTGCATGTATATAAAAACTATTATAAGGAACAAGTGTAGTAGGTCTGGCTTTGTGAAAATTGAGCTGTTCTTCTGAAAATTACTGGACAATATCCATTTATAATCTGCTAATACCTGTGAATCAAAAGAGGTATACATCAAATGGATTAAAGTTAAGATTGTATCAAAACGAGGTCTCTTTTCTCAGTAAGAAATTAAAGGAAGTGCCAGGCAGCCACCATTATGACCCTAATGCCTTTGTGTCTTGTGGTGTAGGGTCTTTTTGTTTCTAATCCATGCATTAAACCTCTGTGTTCTCTTTCTTACAGTTCAGCAGAAGAGCAGTTTCACTGGCAATCACAAGGTAAAGTAAGCCTTCTTTTTAAAAAAAAATGTTTTTATTGATTTATTGATTTCAGAGAGGAAGGAAGAGGGAGAGAGAAAAAAAAATCAATGATTAGAGAGGATCATTGGTTGGCTGCCTCCTGCATGCCCCACACCAGGGATTGAGACTACAACCCGGGCATATGGCTCGACTGAGAATCGAACCATGACCTCCTGGTTCATAGGTCGATGCTCAACCACTGAGCCAGGTTGGCCGGGCCAAGTATGCCTTCCTGATGAACACTTACTACATGTATCTCTATTGATTAATTTCCTTGTGAACTTTAGAAAGAGACTTATGAAAGTGAACATGACAAACACCATAACACTAAAATTAAATGAAGTTGTTGTGTTAGCTCACAATTTCATGGGATCTAAGTTCTCATAGTTCTCTAGTCACTTTCTGTTCTTCATGGACACATGGAATTGAGGGTGGTGGATGCTTTAGCTTTTAAGACTGATTGACTGAAGATTACACTATGATACCAAGTGAGAACTTCATAGAGGTCATATGTTCATTTGGGGCACTTTTGATTTTTAAGTGATTGCCTTAAGTTTTAATATCATCTCATGTTTATGACTTTAAAATAATGCAATTTCAGATGGTCAAAAAGATATCGAAGACGAACTCACAACAGGTCTGGAGCTGGTGGACTCCTGTATTAGATCGCTGCAGGAATCAGGAATACTTGACCCACAGGATTATTCCACAAGTGAAAGTAAGTCAAGTGACAGTTATACTCGAAGACAATTAAAAGAGTGTCATGCCATTATTTTCTAATATAATTAATATTATGAGATATATCGAATAGGACTTCTAGATGTTTATACTTATTTTATGTATTTCTCTTTGCTCTCATCTACTTCCTTCCCACATTACCCCTCCCCAACCCACATGAGATGGCAAATGCTCTTAAATCAGTAATTGGCATCTAAATTTTTCTCCAATTACTGATATAATGATTATTTTCACCAATTACTGATGTTCAATAAATCAATAACCAATTCGCTGATAACCATTTTAGCCTCTAGACCAGCACATTGTATGAACACATCATATATGTGTTTAATCAACTCAGTGTCTGCTTTAAAATTAATTGACAATGCTTTACTCCTACAGATTATTGTTGGTAGGGATTTTAAACCGTACAGCAATTATATAACAAAATAGGAAAAACGAATGTAATATATGCACTACTATTTAAGGGTAATACACTTTTTACATTTCTAGATTTAGCAATTTGATATTGCTGTATTAATCTCAATAGAGTATTTAAAGATTTCTTTATCTCCACTTAATTACATATTTTTCAACCAGAGTGCTTGAGATGTAAAATAAAAGTGCTGAATTTAAATGAGCCTCACATTAATAAATCATAAAATTATCTTAACTTATTTCAATAAAATCCCATAAAAAGCTAAAAATTAAATCATTAAAACTTACATTATCTTGATAATTTCTACATTAAAAATCAGTGGAGCATTTTATTCTTAATTTATAAAAATAAAATTTCCTTAAATATTCATCAAGGTTTGGCATAGAAAAAGAAAATATAAGAATAAATAGTATAGTGATCTTGAACCATTTAACTTACATATTAGTTTATTTTCTCTGTAATCTTTCTAATACCACTACTCTTAGGGCAGTATCATCATGAATACCCAGATTTATTTAAATCCATCCCCTCAATAAAGCTTCTAAAGTAAGATGCATGATTTGTAATATCCTTGTTCTATCTATTTTGTATTTTAAAGTATAAGATTGTGTTGTTGTTTTTTAATATATTTTATTGATTTTTTTACAGAGAGGAAGGGAGAGGGATAGAGAGTTAGAAACACCAATGAGAGAGAGAGAGACATCGATTAGCTGCCTCCTGCACACCCCCCACTGGGGATGCGCCCACAACCAAGGTACATGCCCCTGACTGGAATCGAACCCAGGACCCTTCAGTCCACAGGCTGATGCTCTATCCACTAAGCCAAACCAGTCAGGGATAAAATATAGGATTGTTACCTCTTCTCTCTGAGTCAATAAATATATTTCCTTTGTAGGGGCAGTTGTACTTAAAATATATTTTATTAATATTTGATGTACTCAACTCCCTCTTTATTAGAGAGGAGGAAAGCAAAGATAAAATAGTGTATCTTGGGTGGGGGGTTATATTGGATATCTCACTTTTTGACATGATAATAAACATATTTGATTATGAGGTTAGAAGAGGGGATAAGTTTTAATACATGGAAAGTATATAAAAATAAGAAAGAGTAAAATTAAAGTGAGATGAATCAACTCTACCAATCTAGCTCTACATGTAAGCACAGTGGATTCTTCTTTGAAAAGAATAAAAATTCAAGTTTGTAGTAAACAAAAAATATTAAAAATAATAAAGTTGATGAAAAATATTATGAATATGTCAATACCTGTTTATCAATTAGACTGAATACTAAAGGGAAAAGCCACAGAAATTCGAAACAAATAATAAATTAACTTATATTTGCTGAATGGTAATATACATTTGTTATATATGTCCAAGGAATAATTATAAATATTGATCTGCTACCACATGGTAAAGACAATCCTATACATTAAAAAGTATAGCCCTAGCAGGTTTGGTTGGTGGATAGAACGTTGGCCTGCAGACTGAAAAGTCTCAGGTTTTATTCCCTTCAAGGGCACCTGCTGGGATTGCAGGCTCAATCCCCAGTGGTAATATACATTTGTTATATATGTCCAAGGAATAATAATAAATATTGATCTGCTACCACATGGTAAAGACAATTTTAAACATTAAAAAGTATAGCCCTAGCCGGTTTGGTCGGTGGATAGAGCGTCAGCCTGCAGACTGGAAAGTCTCAGGTTCTATATCCATCAAGGGCACCTGCTGGGGTTGCAGGCTCAATCCCCAGTAGGGGGCATGGATGAGGCAGCCAATCAATGATTTCCTCTCATCGCTGATGTTTCTATCTCTCTCTCCTTCTCCCTTCCTCTCTGAAATCAATTTTAAAAAGTATAAAAAGGTCACATTTTTAATAATAATTCAGTAAAATTAAATAATTAAAAATAAGCAAAAATATAATTATATTAAAATTAAGAACCAGGCTTTTGGATCTACTGAAACAAATTTGGTCACTGCTCAATTTTTGTTTTTCAGAAAGTTTAGTTATTCTGTGCTGAATTAGCTGTCTGAAAACTCCTAGGATTTTAGTTGATTTTTTTTTATAAGCCTACACTTCCTTGTTTGAAGATAGGAAAGAAATAAGGCCAACACAATAACAGCCAAAGAAAGAAACAGGTGGTGGAAGTGCCACCTAAAAGTTTTATGCCAAAGGATCTGAACCACAGTGAAATGTAAAATATTGTTGTTCTTAACATTTTCAGAGTCAGTTTGAGAAGAATTAATTGGTTAAAGTTTAGGAAATTAATTTTAAAGTATTGCGTGGATAACTAATATTTCGGGTATTAACTGTTGCTAATTTTAAGTATTTATCAAATAAAATCCCAGTTTTTGTTTGTATCTGTATCAGGGTTCAGAATGGAAATAGATTCTTCTCAAAAAGAGTTGAACTGAAGGGAATTTGAGGTACTATTTACAAAGATTAAGGGAATAAACGATGGCTGCTGAGGTTCACAGGGAACAGCAACAGACAGAAGCCCTTACCACCCTCAGTCCTGAAGGAAAGGGTAGGGAATAGTACCAGCAGAGTCGAGGCATGGCAGGAGCAGAGGAATAAATAGGACCTCTCTCTCCTCTCGCCTTCTCCTGCCCTTCTTGTGTCTCCCAGTAGCCAAATCCTATCAGAAAACAAACAGAAGGGACTCTCGTGATACAGTCCATATGGGGTAAAGGGCAGAGAGTGAATATGGGGAGCAAAGAGAATAAGCAGCAGAACCTTCTGCTAAAGGCTAGAAGAAGATACCATGTTTATATTCTTGATATATAAATTCAACACATAGACATGTGGTGGCTCTATGGCACATTCCATCTAGTTATTATGAGCCCATCGGATTCTGTGAGACCCTTGATTTTGTGATTATTCAATCAATGGACTCATTAGCTAGAACAGATATGAAATAGCTAATGCGAAATTGGACCTGGCACACTGCCCTTGAGAGCCAGCCTCTTAGTCCTAACTCCAAAAAGACAACACTAAATACAGTCTAAAAGCAGCTTGGAACAGTTCTAAGTGGCAACCAATCTCAACTCCTAAGTGCATAGCACTTAATTTGTTGTGTTTAAAAGATTTTTCTGTATTTCTTTCCAAGGTCTGATTAAAATAAAATTTGAGTTTTAGTCAACCCATCTTCTTGACCCTCAGACTAGCAATAACTGCTCTACTGAACTAACTATAGTATCATACTGTTACCAGTGTTTCTCAACATGTGGCATTTTTTTAAAAAGTGCCATCTATCCTAAACAGTATGCAAATCATGTATACAACCTTAGCCACCGCCACTATGTTGTGACTGCCAGCTGTGTAATTTCAATTCCAGCAAATATATGTCACAGCGTCACTAGGAGAATTGCTGTTAGTTTTCTGGGGGAAAAAAGTGTTACTGACAGAAGCTCGGGGCCTTTAGCATCTCACATAATGTACAGCTTGACCCAAACTGCTATGGACAAGCTACCCTATTTAATCCATGCATCCTTGGAGAAATAAACTCAGAGAAAGGGGTGATTATACCAGCCAAAAAGTAACAAAAATATGTCAGTCAAAATCAGAAATTGAATGGACAACTTGGGGAAAAAAGGACTTATATGTTTATAGAAATTGTTACTTGCTTTAAATATTATATTTTGAAATAGTAATTATTTCTGTCTGTAGCAAATTAAAGTTTCACTATATCCTAAAAAATACCAGCATCCAGTAGCAAGGAAATTTTAGGAGCTTAATATATTCTGAGTGTTATGGCAAAGAATGGAATGTTATCTTATTCTGAGTTTTCAAATCAGAATATATTCAAAAAAATCAAGAATCAGTCATAGAAGGTACCATCCTGAGCAGGTGAAATCCAAATAAAACAATCATATGTAGTTTGACAAAATGAATATATCATGTACTCTTGATTTATAGTCGATCATTTTCATTTAGTTACTGTGAATATACTTAATTCTGTGTAGTGAGAGATTTGTTGGGAGATCATGTTATTAAAATGCTTTAAAATATAATTCCATATATTCTTATGCAATAATAGTAAAGATAAGAGACATCCTTATGAGGTGAATATTTGCATACTTCCAAGGAAGCCTGGCACCAAAGGATGCTGAAGTGGTTTAGGAGGGTAGGGTTTTGATAATAATTAAGCAAATCAAAATGAGAAATATATTGATTATGTGACTCACATTATTAATGTCATGCTCAGGGAAAGAGGACTTACTGACTTGTTTGACTTTCTATTGTGGTGGCAGCTAAGTGCTTAGTTAGACCTGACAGGGTGGAGAGCCTCTGGGCCGGGGCACAGGTGGCCTATCCTCCCCTTGGAGCCAGGAGACTTGGATTCAAGTCCTACTTCTGCCTCACTTACCAATGGTTGAGGACTGTCACTGGGACTCCGGAGACCCTGAGTCATTTCCTGGAAGCGTTTATTCAAGTTAGTTGAGTTTATCCTCAGATTGTTCATTCCCCGTGAAATCACATCATCATATGCCTTTTGGTCCAAGTTTTGAAATACCAATGAGACAGTCTCCTTTCCAGAAGATTGTTATCATTCCAAGTCTTT